ATTCAATGTATTGTTGGCTATTGCTACAAATATATCTGTGCTACTTATGACTGGCTTTGTGGTTCAGGGTCACATATATATATATAGCACTTCAAATAGGGTCTGCAATCATGTCGACAATATTGCTAGAAATGAAGCAGCTCATATATCATTCACCTTATATAATGTCACTTTTTTTTTTCCTGAACACATTGTGTTTTTTTTATCCAGCCTGGCTTTATCCAATGTTCAGACTTCTCTTCTGGAAATGTATGCAAATTAGGGCATATTTAATTAGGTAATGCATCATTTGCATATTTAAACAACATTTCAGAAAACTTGTAATACAAAACAATACTGTGATTAATCAGCTGGGGAAATATGGTAAAATCTTTTAGTTCTGCGGTGTCTTGAAAATTGGAATGATTTTATTCCTAACTGTAGATGGAGACGCCGGAGCCGGCTGACGCTCGCAGCTCGGAGCAGAACCGAAAGCCAAAGGGACCCGTTCAACAAATCCGGCAGAAACTGAAAAAGGAGAGCAAGAAGAAGAGATAGAGAGTGTGTGAGACTGAACAGTGACCGTGTGTGTGTGTGTGACAAACTCACTAATGATGGATTGACTTACAGCATTAGAGGACGTGGATTGAACAAGATCAGCCATTAGATCTTCTGGTTTGAGTTTGGGGTTTGCCATGTCTTTCAAAACTGTGTTTGTATGTCATGTATGTATCATTGTTTTTGAGTAGTCTTTGATTTGATTTTTTATGCCAATTTCAAGTACATTGATATGAATAAACTGATGACCATTTTTCTGCTTGTTTCTTTCTGTTGTGGTAAATATAATTTTTTGTACTAATAGAATCCAAGCCTAATGCATGCAAGATATTTACGAAAAATTTTTTTACTTTTTTTTCTTAAAATGTTTTATTCCCTCAGATAGGTTTTTCTTATCTTAAGGTTGTTCTTGAAGAATTTTTCCCCCGCTTTAAATAGACTGTTCGTTGAACGGTTCGTGCTCACTATATATAATACATATTACAACTTGAAGATTTTCTTTTATAAGTAAATTATATTATAAAATCTCGTATATGACAAATAATTGTCAGTCAACAAGCTCATTGAACACTTTATTAAAAATGGTCATGCCGTGCTTGCTACTTAAAAGAGTGAATGGATAAATATAGTACGATGTATCAGTGTGCGGTTTGAATTGGATATTCTTAAGCATTTGAAAATAGAACTTTGAACTAGCTTGAGAACTTTAACTTTTTTAAACATGAATATTTTTGTGATTCCGCTCGGACTAATTTGAGTACTTTAAAATGCAAAATATTTTTCATACGATTTAAATAAACTGTATGAACAACTATTTTGCATTTTTAATATTGCATAGTGCAATGCTATGTCAGAAAATAATTTATTGGCTTTCATTTATGAAATGGTAGCTACAGTATTTTAACAAAATATGAAGAACTGATATAAACATTAGAATTTAGATTATTGACTTAGCCGTTAGACAATCTAATATTGATGGAAACTATAAACTACTAATAATCAGCATCCACTTTTATTAGTATTTTCTGACAGACTGCCCAAACCAAACATTTTGGCTTGTTTCTACTCAAGTTTCAACTTGTTACTTAAAACAAAAACAGACACTTTAAAACATTTTATTTGAAATGCACATCGATAAATATCTTACAAGGTCAAATTTTGATTAAAAACATGATTTGAGAAAATAGGCATTATATATTTATATATATAAACAACAGTAAAGCGCACTAATATTACATCTAACATGATCTTACTGGTCAAATTTTTGTGTACAAATCATAGATATGAAAAACCAGCAATTTAAATAGATCTCAATGCCAAGATGTCTTCATCTGTGATGCTGTATCTTGAGAGGGTGATGATTTCTCTTCCACAATTCACATCAGAGATTATTTTTATGAACGAGGTCCTTTCTTATAACAGCATTCACTGCAGGGAAAAATACAAACAAAATCATTCGTGGTGTTTACAGAGTTTCTGCCAGTCTTGAAATCAGAACAGAAAGTCATAAATTCACAGTCATGGCATTAAATATCTTTGTCAGTATTTTTGTTTTCCAATACAAATATCTAAAGCCCTTAAATCAAGATACATTTATTTGAGATACAAAATGAAGATATGAAATCTTGTTTTCGGAGAAACCAAACAAAATGAAGTGAGCTTATGGTTAAAACAAGAGCAAATATCTGTCAATGAGGTATGAAAACTAGTTTCCTTTTGAATTAGGTGTATTTTTTGAGCCCATTGGCAGATATTTGTCTTTGTTTTAACCATAAACTCACTTTATTTTGATTAACTTCACAGAAAACAAGAATTAATTTTGCTGCTCAAGTAAATGCATCTTAATTTAAGACATTTGCAGTGAAAAAAAAAAAGGTAAGAAGAACAGCACTTTTTTTGCAGTGTGATAAGAAAGGTACAGTTGGTTTGGAGCAAAGCTATTTTTTTTTTTTTTTTTTTGGTAAAATGAAAAAAGTTATGGTGATTGGTTATAAGTTGTATTTTCAAACTTTTGCTAATACAAATCATTGTGTTCCCTAGACGTTTAGAGAACATTCTGAGGTATTGTGCTTCCTTCAGTTTATTTCTGTACATTTTCTTTACCTGGTCTTAAAAAGTCTTAAATTTACCTTCATAACACCTGCAGAAACTCTGTGTTTGCTGAAGTGTGCATTACTGTATATTGCTCAGCATTAATGACATAATCAAATCAAAGCCTTCTGTTCCAGACATTAAAGGTTATACGTGCTGCTACTTTACTAAGTGATCAGATGCACCATTCTCACCTGCTCTACCGTAAAACTTACTAACAAGACTTTTAAGGCATTGTATGGTGCATCATCATCATCATCACAGACGAGCTGAAATGCGCGGTCGGTCAGTCACTCACTGCAGTCTCTGCGGCACAATCACACGCTGCAATACACTGACTGTCCGCTAGCTGGCCGCACAGAGTCTCACGCGACCCTCTCGTGCTTGATTTGGTTGTGCTTCCTGTTGCTCTGCTCAGACAAATTCGTGGGCTAAAAATGGAAAGTTTTCCGTCTAAAATTAGATTAGGGGACACGAGGGGTAGCG